CGCTGCATATACCCTGTCGTTTTGAGCGTTAAAACTTTGCTGCAATACGAAGTTTTTTTTTCGTCCGAAAACACGATCAAGGAATCACCGTACTGGGTTCTGAAAGCCCATGAATGCTTCTTTTCTTGTACGGCACCAATCCCAAATCGTATTTGAGAACTGATCAGATAATTTTACTGGAAACTGCCAGATCCTGAGCCAGTTTATATAAAGAACGACAAGGATTTCGTCGAATCCGTTCTTGTATACCTTCAGGTTTTTTATTCGGTACGATGGTCCCTCCGTCCTCCATCTTCACAAAGTCCAGTCGATTAATGTGTGACATATTCCTTCCTTCGTGGTCAGTTGGTCCTCCCTGAGCATAGTCCACCAAGTTGGTCCTCCACGAGCATAGTCCAGGTATCGTGGCCGTAGAGGACCACCGGTCCTCAGACAGTCAACTTCGTGCGGCGGCGAATTTTATTCGACCGGAGCGTGCTCCGGAGTCCAAAGTCGGCACGATTCCCTGCCATAATGCGTCTTTAAATTTCTCTGGTGGTATCATTTTCGGTGGTCACCAGTGAGCCCAAATACACGAACTCGCCGACCACCTCCATTTCGTCACCGTCAATCTGAACTCGGGGTGGGAGGCTAACCTTGCCTTCGCTAAAACCTCTTCCTTTCATGTATTTTGTCTTTCATGCGTTGATGCAGATCCAATCCGCCTAGCTTCAACCTTCAGTTTGATTTACGTTTCCGCCATCGTCTCAAAGTTTCGTGCCATGATGTCGATGTCATCGGCGAAACCAAGAAGCTGGATGGACTTCCTGAAGATCGTGCCACTCGTGTCTGTCCCTGCTCTTCTGATCACACCTTCTAACGCGATGTTGAATAGCAGACCCCCTTCGAGAATCAATGAGAGTGTCTCCGATACTCGAACAACGCACATCACTCGATCCATCGTCGCCTTGACCAATCGCGTTAGTTTATCTGGAAATCCGTATTCGTGCATAATATGCCATAGCTGATCTCGGTCGATTGTGTCGTATGCGGATTTGAAATCGATAAACAAATTATGTGTGGGCACGTTGCGTTCGCGGCGTTTCTGAAGAACCTGCCAAATCGCGAAAATTTGGGCCGTAGTAGCGCGGGCACCCATGAATCCCGCCCGGTATTGCCCCACTAACTCTCTTGCATATGGTGACAGGTGGCGGCATAGAATTTGGGAGAGTACCTTGTAGCCGGCGCTTAAAAGTGTGATCGCGTGGTAGTTGCAACAATCCAACTTGTCGCTCTTTTGGTAGATTGGGCATACGACACCTTCCATCTACTCCTCCGGTAATATCTCCTCCTCCCAAATCTTGGCAATTACCCAGTGCAGCGCTCTAGCCAGTGCTTCACCACCGTATTTTAACAGCTCACTTGATAGTTGATCTACACCAGTTGCTTTGTTGTTCTTCAGCCAACCGATATCCTCCTCAACTTTTTGAAGCCGGTAGCCGGTAGCCTGTCGTCTTCTGTGCGTGCTCCAAGGTCTGTTGCCGTGCCACCTTCGTTTTCTGCTGCATCACCTTTGAAGTGCTCGTCATAGTACTGCTTCCACCTCTCAATCACCTCACACTCGTTCGTGAGAAGGTTACCGTCCAAGTCCTTGCACATATCGGGTTGCGGCTCGGTCTTCCTGCTGACGCTTCTTCCTTCGGAATATTGAGTTTTGTCTGTTCTGTGCTTGTCTGTATCGCTCCACATTCAATCTCGTGCGGTGTTGCAGCATTCTCGCCCGTGCTGCATTCTTCTCCTCTACTAACAGTTTGTATTTGTCGTCAAACCAGCCATTTCTTCAGTCTGGGATCCCAGTACCTAGTGCCGCTACAGCAGTACTACCTATGGCGGAACGCATGTCCCTCCAGCCATCTTCAAGAGAAGCGGCACCAAGCTGCTCTTCCGTGGGTAGAGCAACTCCCAGCTGCTGCGCGTAGTCCTGGGCAACTCCGGCGCCCCGTAGTTGCTCAATGTTGGGTCGCGGTGTTCGACTTCGACGGGTGTTACGCACCGTTGAGAGTTTTGAGCGCATGCATACTGCAAATAGGTAGTGGTTCGAATCTATGTTCGCACTGCGGTACGTGCGGACGTTGATAATGTCGGAGAAGAGTTTCCCGTCGATTAGAACGTGATCAATTTGGTTTTCTGTGTGTTGGTCAGGTGATCTCCAGGTGGCTTTGTGGATATCCTTGCGGGAGAAAAAGCTACTTCGAACTATCATACCCCGAGAGGCTGCAAAGTTCACGCATCGTTAGCCGTTGTCTTTCGATACGGCATGCAGGCTGTTTGGCCCGATTGCCGGTCTATACATTACCTCCCGTCCTACCTGAGCGTTCATGTCACCGTTGCGAACAGCCATCGTACACCTGCTCCAGCTGCGCATTGAACACTTCTTTCTCGTCGTCGGGTCTCCTTTCGTGTGGGCAGTGCACGTTGATGATGCTGTAGTTGAAGAAACGGCCCTTAATCCTCAACTTGCATTTCCTCGCGTTGATCTGTTGCCAACCAATCACGCGTTGGTGCATCTTACCCAGCACTACAAAGCCGGTTCCCAGCTCGTTGGTGATGCCACAGCTCTGGTAGAAAGAAACCGCTCGATACTCGCTTTTCCATACCTTTTGTCCCGTCCAGCAAAGTTTCTTCAGTGCTACGACTTCGAAGTTGTGTGGTTGAAGTTCGTCATGGATTAACCTATCGCAGCCCGGCAAGCCGAGCGATTTGCAATTCCATGTTCCGAGTTTCCAATCGTTGTCCTTATTTCGTCGTGTAGTTCTGTGCCAATTGTTCTAATCCGTATTTTTTTCTACAGTATTTGCAACTTTATGTTTTTTCCAGGGCTGCTTGTTGGGCCTGAACGAACCCCTGTCTCGCCGGGGGACCATCGTGCACAGTTCTGTTTAGAGTCCCACGCTGGCACTAGGACGGTGATCAGCCGCTCTTAACATGGAGAACAGACGCTGTTTTGAGTCGCGCCTCCATGGTGAACACACGCTCGGGTTTGGTGAAGCATTTACTATATCACCGTACTATGGCTACCGCGCCAGTGTTCGCGTCGCACCTCTTCACTTTGCTATTGCCGGACTGGTAACATTACCCAGGCTACGCCACCCAGCTGTGTCCATGTTTCAGCTGGTAGTACATGGCATGTTGAGAGATTGAGGTCGTGAGAGCAAATTTTCTATCTCAAATTTGAATTTTTTGGCTCTGCACACTAAAAAAATCTGAATTTTTCATGCATGTAAACTTCCTTTTCACGTAAACTAGCAGTTTGCAAGAAATTTCGCAAACAAAGGTGGAAAGTTGCATACAATATATGGAATATTGCATATCATGTCTCATAAATTTACACGATTTATAATGTAAATTTGTATGATTTATGACGCTCCATGTATGTGCATCATAGTAAAGGAAATTTACACTACTTTTTTTAGCTCTCTGGAACTGTTAGTAAAGCAGGTAAAACTGTTTGGGGAAAAAACCTTTTTATTTAATTGCAGCTTATTTATCAATAATTTCGGGGAAAAACTGAACGACAAATTCCCTGACTAATTTCTTTAGGTTATCGTTCACTTTTTTTGATCTGAATATGCACCGAAAGCGAATTATTCCCACTTTTCTCAATTTCTATATGGGCATTTTTGTCACTGCCTACCAGCGGAACAGCGCCATCTCTGTGGAAAATGGTCGAACAAAATGATTAGGACGGAACGGACGACTAAAACGTACCGTTTTTAATCCTCTTTTTTTTTCACGACATAAATGAAAGAGGACTGTCTTCATACATAATTTGTCATGCGCTGTTTGGAGTGCGACAAAATGTTTCATCACTGGCTTTGTTGATGCAAGACAGCCCTGCTCATGGTCATCAGCAGTTCAACTGACAACCCCAGCCAGCGATAAGCCCACACCGCGTCTTTATCTCTATAGCTACAAAATAGCTTACGCCACCGCCAACTGCCATTGTTCCAGCCAGTCAGTGCCTTCTCCATCTGGCTTTCCCCATCTGGTCTTCCCCATTCTCCTGCCGATGCCAACTTAAAATGATGACGACAACGATTCCTGACGCTGATGAAGCCGCTTACGAATTTCCCTCCGACTAATTAATGCTGTACGCAATGAAACGCCCGGGCTCGGATCGGACGAGGTGGTTGGAGAAGTTTTCTGTCGCATCACTTCCCGAAAGTGCTTATCAAGTGAAATTTGAAGCTTTCCCGAAGTCGTTGATGATAAATTAAATTTCGCAACAGCAACATCCGAGTGCGGCATGAGCGTTCATCTTATTAGCGGCTCGAGTTTTGCCAAGAGTTGCTCCCTGACTATAATTATTGTACTCTTGGCGTTTCCCCTTCCGCCGTACTGCTGGTGAACTTTTCAACTCTGGCTTCCCCTTCCGACGAGTGTTGTTTCGAGTGATATTCGTTTTTATTTTCGGAAGGAGTGTTCTTAACTCAAGACTAACACGAAACAGTGGAGCATCCTTTCCTAGCTCGGGATTCTTTCGATGCTGTAGAAGACAAAAATACCGACTTGGCTCCTTGGGTCCCGGTGGGATGCAATTAGAGGAGCGGAAAAAAAACTTTCTAAATTTCTCCCAGGGCTTCCCCTACGGGTTCACCGCAACACTGCAGAGCGAAGGCATAATCCAGTAAATCTAATTAGCTTTCGTATGGGGTTGCATTTCATTATGCAAGGGCTGGTGCGCAAACTAAATGCTGTCTGAATGGGCAACTGCGGTTGGCTTCATTTGCTTCCCTCCTCCATGCCAAAGTGCCACTAGCAATTGGTAATTTATCAATATTTGCATGAAAGCTTGGAAATTTCAAACACAAGCTGTTGATGATTCCTTGGAACAGAAGGTTAATCTGAATAGTAAAAGTGGCTCGTCTTCAACAGACATTGGAGGTTGAGCGAATATTCATAACAGCTTTCGAAATAATTCTGAATTCAAATTAAATTCAATTAAGTAGATTTTTACTCACCGCAGCAACTTTTGTAGCATTTCCTGGGATCTGAAAGAAGAAAGAAATCATAAATAAGATTTACATTTCATTACAAACTGGCGTCGTCGTTACATCTGTGGGAAACTGGTGGGTGTGTGTGTTGTGAATAATGATTACTTTGCAAAAATCTACCCAAGTCCCAGCTGCATCAGAATGACTGATGCAAATGTCGGAATTAGTGCTCTACAAATCGTAAATTCGGTCCTGACCAGTCTCATTAGCATAATAATAAAGACATACATTGTTAAATTTAGCTATTTATTTGAACCATCCTCGACTATGACGTATGGACTAAATATGTTACACTAACTTTCTTATCCTATTTATAAAAACTACTTTGAACATGGTCTAGTAAAAATTAAAGTTATCATCATTAAATGAACCATGCAAATAGAAAGGTTCAAAGAGTATCCTTCTTGCAGGAATTGTGGTGAAAGGAGCATTGCAAAGTCGTTGAGGTGGCACGATGATAGGTAATCCAGCTCGATGATGATTCAAGAGATGATTAATTGATGATGTGTAATGTAAAAAGCTATTGCCGTTTGGCTCTCCTTGTCGATAGAGTGTCAAGGTTGATAAGCTGGTAACGGTCTGGGTAATTTGACAGATTGACAGAGCCCCTCCAAGGTAGGTCTGGCAATGCATATCGCCCTGTTTCTACACACTTTCTATCTGCAAGGTATGCGATAGTTGATACGGAGACGAAACAGGGGCGTCATACTCCGCAGTCTAGAGGGTCCTATTTCCGGGATTTTATTTTTCGAACCCGTTTTTTTTTGGGCTTAAATTAACTAAAAGCACAAATTCACTGTTAGAAGCCAATTCATGGCAAACGTACGAACTATCGATAAGATGATGGCTTCAAAATTCCTTCACGGAGAGGTGTGATAGAGATTGTTTTTAATGGTTGCATTTTTTTTAATTAATTACTTTATTTGTACAGGCTCAATCGAATAAACTTTACAGAGCCTGTCTTATATTTAAAGTTAAAGGAGCTGGACCGGATACTCGCGGTTGCCTCGAGGTTAGTGGAGATTTACAATTTTTTTGGATGGGAAAAGGGAGAAGGAGGTTTGAAATGTGGTTTACGATACAAATATTTAATTAATCCTAAAACATGAACTTATTTCTATTCATCTTCAAACCAAACATTGAAAAAAAAAACCCACACATACAAAATACAAACTAAACACAAGGTTAATCAAACTAACAATCTAAGGTTAATATTCTTAAAGTAAACATATATGAGTTTCATAAACTCCAGCCTCCGTCTAGCCAAAATATCCCGAACTGGAACATTAGGTTTTCTACCTCGAGCCCCAAGGGAATCGTACAGCTCAGATCTGACTCCACGATGCTCAGCACAAGACCAAATAATGTGATCTGCGTCCTGGTAACCTTGTCCACATTCACAGAGATTGCTGTCCCCCAGCACACGGAACACGGAACACGGAACAAGTGAGCGTTTAACGAATAGTGATTGGACATGAGGCGAGACATCATACGAATGAAGTCTCGACCCACATCCAACCCCTTGAACCAAGGAGTCTTCGACACCTTAGGGATGATCGAGTATAGCCATCGTCCCAAACTACCTTTACTCCACTTATTCTGCCAGCTGACGAGTGACTGTTGACGGTAAATGAAGAAAAATTCATCGTAGGCAATTTGTCGATCGTAAATATCGCCTTTTATAGCGCCCACCTTAGCAAGTGAGTCCGCCTTCTCATTGCCCGGAATCGAGCAATGAAATGGGACCCATGCAAAGGTGATGACAAAAGATCTTAAAGATGAAGCACTTAAAAGCTCTCTTATTTTCATGAGAAAATACGAGGAGTGCTTTACCGGCCTCATGGAGCGAATAGCCTCGACAGAACTGAGACTATCCGTAAAAATAAAATAATGATCTGGTGAAAGTGAGGTGATAGTTTCTAGCGTATAATGTATTGCCGCCAGCTCAGCAACATATACGGAACAAGGAGCTTGAAGCATTCGAGGGGCGCTATGAAGTTCGTTAAAAATATCAAAACTAGCGGATGACTCTATTAGTGATCTCTATTAGTGTTCTGGGATTCCGCGAATCTCTTGCGTCATAGATAAATCAAAACTGACTGAATTGCCGAAGTAGGAGAAGCATACACGATGAGGTTTATGCTGTGAAGGGCTGACATCCTGTGTTATGTACACGTATTACAACGAGTTTGAGGGTTTAGCTCAAGAAGCTTCTCAAAGTTTGCAATCACCAGGGGGTTTATAATTTCACAACGGGTGAGGAGCCTGAGGGATAATTCCGAAAACCGATCAGAGAGTGGCAACATGCCCGCTAACACTTCGAGACTCATCGTATGAGTCGAGTGCATGCATCCTATCGCGATACGAAGACAGCGATACTGGATCCGTTCCAGTTTGATGATGTGCGTTTTAGCCGCCGACTGGAAGCAAAAACTACCGTACTCTAAAACCGATAGAATCGTTGTCCGGTACAACGTTAGAAAATATTGCGGATGGGCTCCCCACCACGTTCCGGTAATTGTACGGAGAAAATTGATCCTTTGTTGGCATTTCCGCTTCAGATACTCAATGTGGGATCGCCAGGTGCATTTGGAATCGAACCAGACTCCAAGATATTTCAAAGACATGGAATGAGTGATCGGCCTACCCAAAAGTTGAAGCTTTGGTTGTGCTGGGCTATGCTTCCTAGAAAAAACGACCAACTCAGTTTTCTCCGAGGAGAATTCGATACCTAGCTGAATAGCCCAAGTAGACAAATTTTCTAAGGTATCCTGTAAGGGTCCTTGCAGGTCGGCCTCTCTGGGCCCTGTCATAGACACTACTCTGTCATCTGCAAGTTGTCTCAGCGTGCAGTTGTCACTTAGACAATTGTCAATTTCTCTAACGTAGAAATTATACAAAAGGGTACTTAAACATGAGCCCTAGGGGAAACCCATGTAACTAGAGTGTAGAGTTTCCATGAGAAAAGCTCATAACAACAAATTGTACAAACAGTTATTTATTAATGGAGAAAGGCCACAAGCGTGGAGTTTGTCTGAAAAGACTTCAATCGATACTGAATCAAAAGCCCCCTTGATATCCAAGAATACAGAAGCCATTTGCTCTTTTTAGCAAAAGCCAACTTAATGTCTGTAGAAAGCAACGCGAGACAGTCGCTCGTTCCCTTGCCCCTACGGAAACCAAATTGAGTATCTGAGAGTAGGTGGTTCGTCTCAACCCATTTGTCCAAACGAAAAAGGATCATTTTCTCCAACAATTTTCGAATGCACGATAATATCGCGATGGGACGATACGAGTTATGATCTGAAGCGGGTTTTCCAGGCCTTTTAATGGCTATAACTCTCACTTGCCTCCAATCATCCGGAACAATATTGAGCTCTAGGAACTGACAAAACAAGTTCAACATGCGCCTCTTAGCGACGTCTGGGAGGTTCTTCAACAAGTTGAACTTGATTCTATCAGACCCCGGAGCCGAACTGCCACACGAAAGGAGCGCGAGTGAGAGCTCCAGCATTTAAAAAGGCTGACTGATCTTGTCTACAGTTTTTAATGGTTGTATTTTTAAATAAATTTTATTTGTAGCCCGGGGTTAACAACTAACTTTTTTCATGGATCGATTAATTTTAACATTTTAACTCCATAGTGAAAACCAAATTTAATTAAAATGCTATGTTCGCAAACTACATGCATTTAAGAAATTCTCTACCACACCTCAAGGAAGAAATTCGGATCATCATATCGTAGCGTCTTACGAAGAGCTACTGATTCCGATCAAAAGCGGTCCAGCTTCTTCCTCTTTCTATGGATGCTAATGTGGGCTGCAGCTCGCTGCTTGCAGGCAGCCTTTCATTGTGTACTGCAGAACAATGTTCAACGCCACGTGCCGAACGCACTGCTGCTGCTGCAGCTGATGCCGACGACCGGACACACGGTGATGCATCTTACACCTTTTATTCCTGGCTGTGACACTCTTACACGAGATTTCGTCTGCTCTCAACCAGTGTTGGAAAAGTTCGCGATATTTAACGAAGTTCACCATGGGAAAAGTTCGCGAGTCATAGTGAGTTATCGCGAACTTTTCCATCACTGCTCTCAACTTAGGGGTTCAAGATACACTTCTTCAGTTATTAAATGAGAGCTTTCTATGTGAACTTGTGTATTGTGTGGCAAGCTCAATAATACTTCTACGCCCAGGGAAGTCGACAAAATTTCCAACCTGAAAGACATCTTGATCAAACCCGGAGTCGTACAAACCGCCGCCGGCTAAGTATTAACACATGTACGGAGCAGTCCTAATAAAATGTTAGTTTGCTCAATGACGTATTGAGGGTGTAATCCAAACCTTTTGTGGAATAGTTCTATCAATTGTGTTATCGTACTGGTGTGGCATTTTTTTACGTAGGACTACGACTTTGATTTCTTTATGGGGGTACACTTTGTGAAAACCGAAAATGGAACATGTAACAAATTAAGAAAGATTTTGTACGTTAATAACTCAGCTGCCCCTTATCCAATTTCAATAATTTTTATCACCAATCGATCAGAAATATGGCTACGCATCGATAACAATGCTTCCGAATGTTGATTTTCAACAAGAAACTCATCGCCATACTCAGAACCACAGGCTCCCAACGATCACACCACTGTGTGGTGGTGTTCGGTCGTCGAAATTAATAGCAGCAGTAGCATTGGCGTTGAAAATTGTTCTCCAGTAACAACGAAAGGCTGCCTGCAAGCAACGAGCTGCAGAGCCTACATAAGCAACCATCAAAGGAGGAAGAAGCTGCACCTCTGTGCTATGGATCGGAATCAGTAGCTCTTCGTGAGTCGCTGCGGGTCGGTCATCTATGCCAAGCGTGTCACCCTCGCTCCAAACGACATACAGCTCGACAGCCTCATCCGTGTTGAAACCCAGCTCAGAATTACTCAATCATCACTAAAAAACGGTCCTTTTCAGGGCCACCAAAAATTTGTTAAAGAGTTTTATTTGGACATTG